TGTTCGGATCCGCCCACTTCTCTAACCTATCCAGGTCTGCCTGGATGCGGTCCCTGCCTGCCGGTGTATTAGATTTAGATTATATTTTCACTATTTAGAAACGTGATGCATTTTTTATTTTAAGAAATACTTACTATAGATTCAACTATACTATTTTGTCCTTCTTACATTTCAGATTTGTACCAGCAACCTTTTGCAAACTTCCCCCCCCTCCCACCCCCCCCACAACTTAACAGGGGGAAAAAGGGATTTCAGTCCAATTTCTGCACTGAACCAGAACCTAGGAAGCTCTTTTAGCAAATTTTGGGATTCTGTGCAACAAAAACTCTGATAAGTATTACCTAAGATTTTTAAAACAGTGAGTTTTTTTTTCCCGTTACCCCCAACAAAAGAAATCAAGCATCTTCAATAGACACTTACTTGGAATCAATGCTACTGGTCTTACTTTTAGTGAAGACCCAATTACAATAAGGAGATCTACTTCATCTTTGTCATACTTCATGGCCCTGTGGAACTGCTCTGGTAAGTTCTCTCCAAAGAATACTATTTCTGGCTTCATAATAGCAAGTGGTTCATCAGGTGGACATCTGGGACATCTAGGAACAACCTGCATCATAAATAACTGTATTACAATCATAGCTTCTGGATTTAAAAGGAAAACAAGTCTGAACTATTCGCGATCATTAATTTTGTTAAAAAACAAACTTTCTGGTGCAGTTTTATTTTTTCTACTCTGTTACTTACAGACATGCATGTCTCCTGTGCACTCCAACTCTGCTGTTCAGTATATGGAGCAGCATATAAGTGAGAGGATAACACTGAGAATAGGAAGGCAGCCCATGAGCTGAGGAACTGTCACCAAAGACTGCAGCACTGTCTTCAAATACCAACCCCTCTGACTTCAAAGGATGGTCAAGAGACTATATTACTGCCTGCTGGTGTGAAGAGACACAAGGAAGCATCTGCAGATTTCTAAGCTGAAACATTTTCTGAGAGCTAGTGCAAAAGTTGTGTAAAAAAGAACTTTTTCAGTTAAGATCCACAAACTGTTTTTTAAAGACAGGAAAAAACAAATATCTAGTATCAGTATGTATATGGAATTTATTTTTTTGATTAAGCTGTTTGGGTTTCAGGACAATGACCCTTTCTCTTTCAATAAAGGCAAAAAAATCAAAACCTTTATCCTCTCTGTTGTTAAAAATAAAGAAAAAAGAAAAGGCCAATAGCATCCTAGGATGTATTAACAGGAGCATCACATGCAAGTCAAAGGAAATGATTATTTATTCAGCACTGGTGAGGCCTTCCCAGAAATACGACGTCCGGTTTTGGGCACTATTTTCAAGACAGAGATAGATATATTGGGACATTGGGAAGTTTTCAGCAGAAGCCAATAGGAATTATTAGAAGTCTAGAAAAAATGACTTACAAGAAAAGATCGGAAAAACTGGTCTGTTAAGTCTGTAGAAGAAAAAAAAATGGGGATTTGGTAAGTTCAGTTGCCAAAAATGGTGTTGTAAAGATGGCATCAATTATTCTGTGTCCATAAGAAACAGGACAATAGCAATAGATTAAAATTGGAAAAGGGGAGTTTGTATTACATGGAAGGAAGAACTTTGCAACTGTAAGAACAGTTAAACATTGGAACAGATTATTAAAGAAGTTGTGAAAAAGTTCCAATGATGGATATTTAAGTGCTTAGACAGACAAACCCCTGGCAGAGGTGGTTTAAAGGGGTGATACTGCCTTGAGTAGGGGGTTGGACTAGATGATTTCCTGAGGTTCCTTTTTGCTAATAATATTAGTTGTGACTATTGAAACTCTCCTTGTAGCATTAGTCTTTCATAGTAAGCCCTGTTAGACGTTAAAATAATTGTGTGATGGGATCCAATTCCAACAGCTGTGCATCATGCCACACCACGATTTTTTGGGATGTGGATTGATCCTAATCACACCATTATTTTAAAGGGAACCTTGCAATCGTGCTTTTTAAAGTGCCTGGTCATGGCAAGCCTGGAAGCTTGCTGGGACCCTTGAATGCCTTGCTCTGCTGTTCCCACCTTGTCCTGGGACTTACTGTGATCCCATACTTAAAAGTGCCTTACAGGAGTTGCAGGGCAAGGCTCTTTAAAGTTCTGTTAATAGATGTTGTAATTTTGTTCCACAGTTCCTGTGGGAGCAAAGTTGCATCCACAGACACCTACAACTTGCCTTGTTCTGTATTTCTTCCACAGCATCTTCTAATTCCAGATGGGTGTGGAGATCTGTGGCCTACAGTAGGGACTGGGTTGTAAACAGTGGCATACAGTGGCAAAAGGTTGCCCTATCCTTGTCTAGCCTAAAGAGGACTGGAGACATAGTAATTATGTCCTTCATTTTCTCCAACATTTCCTTCCTTTTATTCTAGGATAAAACAAAAATTCTTATCCAAATATTTTTTACTCCTCAAATAAAAGATCCAATTATTTGGCCAGAAGTATTCCCCATATGAAACTGCTTATGTCTGTATGTAATTTAAAGCATTGTAAGCAGCTTCTAAGTTCACACTTCAGCGTTATACCTCTTTCAATGACTCATTTCTCTGCTAGTTCTCAAAAGGTTGTCAGTTAGGAGTACTATTTATTTTAAGAGCTGAAACTGATATTAAGTGGTTAAAGCTAGACAACTGCCTCTTCAAATCACAGGGTACCACCATAGCCCCTTAAAATAGTTTTCATTCTTAGGCATATTTCTTTCACAGGAAAGTTCAACCTAACATGAAAGTTTTGATTGGTTCTCTGAATCAACGGATAATTTTTTGTTGCTGGTTTCACAACGTCCAAAAATTGGTGGGTCTCCATGTCTAATACGAAACCTCTGCCATGTCTCAGAAATTCTTGAAGCAGTCAAAAGGCAAAACAGAAGCAATGTTCTAGGGAGAAATTGAAGGGGAAAGTTATGTTTTGTTCAGAAGTTTATTCCAGATGGCCTACACAACTGCTTCATCCTCCAAAATGGAGGGCCACTGATACTGGTAAAAAGATACTACAGTGCCATAACTGATATCAGGGATGGGTGGCAACACTTTGGCTGTATTGGAAACATTCTTTAATCCTCTTGAAGGTTCAGATCAAGTGTAGCTGAAGAATAAGCAGCAGCAGTGGGGTGGTTTTTATTTTAACAAGATCTTTTACAATCAACCCTCATCCTGTTGCAGGTTAGGAGGAAGTAAAAAGCTGGCTAAAATCTTTATTTCAGTGGAGCATCCTTTGATGTAGGATGACAGCTGGCTGAAGAAGGAGCAGAGCTAAGAAAACAAGTTTCTGAGGAACCAAAGGACTCAAGATCGCAGGCAAAAAAGTGATATTTTAATAGTGGATAGCTATAGAGGGAAGAATCAAGGCTGGGTGTTCTCTATGGATTTAAATCCCTAAGCTATTTACCAGAAGGAAGAGGAAAGGGAGTCCTTGCAGTTTAAGTAGAGAATTATCTGGTGTTTTAGACCTAGATGACAGTTTCATCTAAAATGGGAGACAAAGGTTGGCCCTTAATAGTTTGGAGAGGCAGTGGGAACCAAGGGGTATAACAAGACAGGAGAGAAACTGGAGATACTGTAGAGGCTACTGGGGGCCACACTGAAGTTTGGACATACTATTGCCTTCCCACTGACTTCTTAGAGTTGAAAGCTATATTCACCAGCAGGAACATTAACATTGTACAAAAATAAACTGTTCAGGACTATTCAGAACCTGGGCTTGCCACAGGAAGACAGCCTTAAGTAACTCCAGGTAGCAATGCAGGATGGCCAGAGAAATTGCAAGTGCTTGCATGTGGGCTAGAAAGTCTGTTCTTATTGTAAGGTCCTGCACCTTTAAAAG